GGCCTCTGTCCCCTCCACAAAGTGCCCCGAAAGCAGCAGAGCCGTGAGGGCGAGGTGTGACAAACAACGCTCCGGGCCCTCCCTGCTGGTGCCTCGGCGTGAGCCCCGAGTGCGGCTTTTGCCCCTTATTCCCTCCGCCGTACCGAAACAACACTCTGGTTTTAGCCACTCAAGCCCTCCCTACGTCACAAAAAACATCTCGCTGTCGGTTTGGGTGTTTGTAACTTGGCCAAACTTGCAGGTAACGACGCCTTAGAAATTAATACGTGACCGTGAAGTCAGTATCTTGACGTTTGCCCATCACCTCTCGTAATAAAAAGCATCACGTTTTTTATTTGTTTTTTTTTTTAGTGCAAATGAAATACTCCTTTCTTCCCCTTAGTCCATCAGGTGCTGGTAACTCCTGTTACAGTCTCCAGGCAGGCTCAGCCAGAAGCTTAATAAAAATCAAGAGTGGCTGCATTTGTAACAACCTTAAAGGTGCCATGAAAGACAAAATCGATTTTGAATAGGAGGGAAGAAGGAAATACAATTAGATATTTTGATATTTGGCTGGTTATCGCGATCTCTGGATGCAGCAAGATGTTAACTTGGTGTTTGTTTTACGTTTCAGAGGTCACCACAGTGACAGTCGCCAACGTCGGTGCCTCCGCAGACAACGTCTTCACGACATCCGTGGCGAACGCGGCTTCAATTTCAGGGCACGTGCTGGTGAGTCTGTGCTCTCGTTCGAGAGCCTCGGCCAAGTCCCACGCACTTCCTTAGCGTAAATGAAGAGCTCTGTTTGTGTTTGAGCTGTAGTAAAGCTAAATTTATGTTTTCTTTGTGGTACCCAGGCTTTAAGCCACAAAACCATTAGCTGGGAAACATCCACTTTTTTCCTTGTCACTTGGAGAGGGTTTTTTAAGCTTTCCACCCCCTGTATTCATTCTCTAACAGCGCTGATGACCTGGAACACGCGCCCTTTGAATCTGGCTGCCTGAAACCTCAAAAACTGACCTAATAAGTGCCAAACCAACTGATGTCTTAGGCTACCTTTGCGAAGATTGGGGACAATACTCAAATGCGTTGGCATTTTAACTCTTAGCAATTTAAACTCTTATTTCTCCTACAGTCTGGGAGAACGGCGCTTCAAATTGGGGACAGCTTGAATACTGAAAAAGCCACTCTCATAGTGGTTCACACCGACGGCAGCATTGTGGAAACCACCGGGCTGAAGGGGCCGCCAGCACCTCTCACGGCAGGTACAAGGCAATCTGGTTTTGAAGCGTCAGGCGGGGTCGCTTTTTCTCCGTTTTAATGGTGTTGCTAGGAGTAGAAACCCTGATGTGCATGAGGTTGTGCAGTTCCTTATAAGGAATGTTTGTCCCGTCTTCGCATGGTACTTCTTGTATTTCTTGGAAGTAGAAGAATACCTACTTTTTTGTTGATTGTTTTTTTTTTGTTTCCTCTCAGAAAGGTATTTAATTTCCTTATTCCTTGCCCCAACCCTTGCAAATAAGCTTCTTGAAAAATCCTGCCTTGCTGCTGGGCTGTTGTGTGCCTTTCCACACCCATCCCACCCCCAAAGGCAGGTTTTAATAATGACAATAAAAACACGAGTCTCCTGTTTCTCCACTTGGGGGTCCTTGAGTTTGATTTCACCTCCATTCGAGCTGCTGGCTGATATTTAAGTGCCACGAGAGCTGGCGTCTTTATTGCTGAGGTTTTGCGCACGGCTGCCCAGCACTTTCCTCCCTCTGATGGGCACGGCGAACCTTCGGGGTTCGGAAGCACCTGACGGGATGGGGCTCTGGGACAGGGAAGATCCAGCCAGCTGCTTACACCACTGTGGGCTGCAACCTTGACGTTTACAGCGCACTGTTCCCTGAGACACAGTTTGCTTTTTCCGTCGTTTAGAGCACGTTCAAGCTGAATTTTTTGTGGTGCGCCCGCTAACTCATGTTACGCTCTTGCCGCTGTTGCCGGAGCTGAGCCGAGCGTGTGAAGGTGTAGCCAGCCTGCTTCTGGCTCGCTGTCACCTCTTGTTTCTTTTTTTTTTCCCCCAAAGGACCGCAATCACCTCCTGCCCCTTTAACGTCTGTCCAAGGGAAAACTGGAACCAAGTACAACTGGGACCCGTCTGTGTATGAGAACGAGCTCCCGGTGAGGTGCCGGAATATCAGCGGCGTTCTCTACAAGAACCGACTGGGCTCAGGTAACAGGGACCTCCTTGGCTGAGGTGGTGTAGCTCCTTCTTCTTTTAATGAGGCTATTTTTAAGGGTGGATCACAAGGGGAAAAATAAAACACTTTCCTAGCCAGCCTAGTACCTTTTGATATTATTGTTTTCTTCTGTTTTGCTCACTCTTAACTTTTTATCTGTTCTCTGAAGATACAGGCTGCTGTGCAGTGAGTTTCTGCAGTAATAGGTCGACTCCTCTAACGTTCTTTTTGACTTGGAAGTAGACCTGTGTTTCTACAAAGCTCTTGCAGAATCCCTGCTGGAACGGAAAAGAGAGAGGCTGTCAGCTCAGAGGACTCCTCGGCTGCCTCACGCCTTCCTTTTCGCTTCTAACGCTGGTGGGAAACCTGAAGAAGCAGCAGCAGAAATTGTCTGTCAGGCAGCCTGACTGCACAGTGCTTGCTTCCTGCAGAGTTTTCTTCACCACCAGAAGGATTAGAAATATAAGTGCAAATTAAGGAAGGGCTTAAATTCATGGTGTTTATCCAAGGAAGGCTTACCCTTCTTATGGATGCGTAATTTTCTCGAGCCTTTTGATGCATTGGTGAGGCCCGAAGTTGGAGCTCTCTAAACACACACAGTCATAGAATCATGGAATATCTCGGGTTGGAAGGGACCTCAGAGCCCATCTAACCCAACCCTGCCATGGGCAGGGACCCCTTAACCAGCCCAGGTTGCTCCAGGCCCCATCCAACCTGGCCTTGAGCATCTCCAGGGAGGGGGCAGCCACAGCCTCTGGGCAACAACTCTCATTGTCACAGCCGAGGTAGGACGTGGGCACGATTATCCCAGAATGGTGAGAAATAGCGGATGGGCCTCTGGTGATTGCTCGAGATGAACTAAAGTTAGTTTCAGTGTTTTGCTTCTTTAGGAACGCAGCAAACTCCTTCACCTTTCCTGCCGTCTGTTTTATTTCAGGAGGCCGTGGTCGGTGCATTAAGCAAGGGGACAACTGGTACAGCCCCACGGAGTTTGAAGCTATGGCGGGACGGGCCAGCAGCAAGGACTGGAAGAGGAGCATCCGCTACGCCGGGCGGCCGCTCCAGTGCCTTATTCACGTAAGGTTAAGTTTGCTTCCTCCGTTCTGCTGGCAGGGGTTGGTGGAAGCAGGGGCTGCCCAGCACCGCGCTCTGAGCCGAGCGCTCCCTCTGAGCAGGATGCGGTCGTGCTCTTGGCGGTTTTGGCGACTCTAATGCCAAACTTGTAATTTTCTCATTGCAGGATGGGATTTTAAATCCCCACGCGGCTTCTTGTACTTGTGCCGCCTGCTGTGATGACATGACCCTGGTGAGTGGTAGGTTTTGTATCTATTAGCTCGAAACCAAATAGATCGGTCGTGCTGATTGGCAAGTAGAATTTCTAGGGCATCCTAGAAGTGCTCACGAGTGCTCTTTGCAGCACACTTCATCCATTTTTCCTGAAGAAAGGAGATAAGGAACTGCTGGCACTATCACGCAGCAGCCTCAGTAAAACTGGGTGGTAGTTCGCGCTTTTTTCTTCTTTTTTTTTCCTTCTCTAAAAAACGTGTTTATGTAAAATGCCTTTTGGAGCTCTTTGTGATTTTTTGACTCAAATATCACAGTTTTTTGATCTGGAAAAAAGTGTTTTTGTAAGGAAGTAATGCAATACTCTGGGTTGGATCCAGGTCTTCTCATCAAACCGCTTGGGTTTTTTTGCTTGCTTGGCTGGTTGGTTTGGGGTTTAGTTTTTTTGTTGTTTGTTTATTTCAAAAATGAGGTTAAAATCCTGAAAACAGAAGTCTTGAGCTTGACTGAAAGTAGTATTTTGCATTTCTTTTCTGCTACGAACAGGAAGATTTGCTTGTTTCCTAGACCTGAAACTAGCTGCTGCCTGTCTCCTCCTCTCTCTTGTTCTCTTTTCTGGCCACCTTGACCAGCAGTCAATTATTTGCCCAGTTCTGCTCCTAAAATAATAGTGGGAAGAAGCTGAACTGGTGCCTCTTCAGCTGGAGGAAGCTGAGCATAACCCTTTTTTTTTTTTTTGCACAAAGTTCTTTTGGTTTGGAGAAGCGGAAGGGTTTTGGTCAGTTGTTGCAAACCACACGTCTGCTGTTGGGATATGTGTGGCTTGAACTTAGCTGTGTCTGGAAGGGTAAGAGGTAAACCCAAAGTCCCCAAAGAGATGCCTCAGCTAATGCCTTTTTTCTTTTTAATTTTCTTTTTTTTCCTGTGTTTTGCCTAGAGCGGCCCTATACGACTCTTCGTGCCCTATAAAAGGCGGAAAAAGGAAAATGAAATATCTGCAGCTCCGGCCAAGAAGGACTGCCCCAAAAACATCACTCTGCTGCCTGCCACAGCCGCTACTACATGTAGGTTCTTTTCTCCTGGTGAGAATTGCTTCCCTTTTTTGATGAGGAATTGCCACACTGGGTATTTTTATGTGGATCAGTGGCCCCTTGGAACTGGCCGACTGAGAAAAAATGTCTCTTGTTGTGCCACTTACTTTTCCTTGGATAGTTTTATTGCCTCAGTGTCTTCAGCTATTTCCACTTCCTATTTTGTAGAAACTAGCACGGTGTTACCATGTCAGGACTGCGAGCTGAGTAGGAAAAAGTACAACTCTATCATAGACTTCCAGGAGGCTCAAGTTTAAGCATCTTAACATCGTTTTGCAGTGAGGTTTCAGATTTGGTTCTGAGGGGGGTCTGGATTGTGTTTAGCCCGCTACCCACTCTCTCATCCTGGTGGTGCAAGGGCAGTTGTGGCGTCCTGGCGTTGAGCTGGAGCAGGTTTCAGGCAGGTTTTTCACAAGTGACAACTGGAGAAATTTCCTCTCATTGAAATTAAACTGAGGGGAAGGCTGGAAATCCTCATTCCGTCCACTGAGCTGGCTTTTTGTCCTTCAGAAGGAGTGGGGGCTACAGACTGAGATTTGTGTTATGGCTTGAAATGTGTAGAAAAGTCGACTCTAAGCAGCTGGAAACCCGCAGCCTGAAAGTTGTTAATGAAAAAGGCAGAAGGTGATGCTTTCATCTGCAAATTCCTCTCTAAAATTCGGGACACGCTTGTTAACTTTGTGGTTTTGATCGTCAAACCGTCTGCATGAGCGCAGAAATTAATTTGCAAGCTCCTCTGGCTCACGCGTTCCCGGTCACATTCAGGCGTCCTCCTGCTCTCATTACACCAGCATCATCTGGACGGTAACGTTACGGGGTGAAATGAGGAGGGAGCAACAGAAATCCAAAACCACCCAGCCAAAAGTAAGATTAGATGACCAGCAGCAGCAAGAAGAGAAACACGCAAGGATTCTGTAGAGTTTGGAGTGATTTTTTGTTCCCCAAAGAGGTTGAATTTGCATTGGTTTGTTAATGAGAGGTGCTGGTGTTAGGAGAGAGGAGGATTGTTCCTTTTGGTAGTAGCCACATATTTCACCAGGAGAGAATTTGTGGCCTCAGTGTCTTAACATTGAGTTACTGCTTGCGAGAAGATCTTTCTGGCTGGGCTGTGTGTCAGCAGAGTCAGCCCATTGCCGAGTAACGGTGCCATACAAATTCATCCTGTCTGAAAAGGGGTTTTAAACACTTTAGAGCCACTCAGGTATGTTCATCCAAAAGGATACTGTGACTTGTTCCTTGCACTGGCCAGGCGTGTTGTGTCACAGCTCAGACTGTCCCAGCCAACCAAACTGTCACAGGATTAGTTGCAATCTGTGGGTTTTTACGTCCCTTTGAGCAGGAAGACCCCCTCCTGCTGAAGCTGTAAGAAATCAGGTTCGGCCAGGGGCTGGTGGGTTTTCTGGCCCTGCTGGATCTTTCTGGTTGGTGTTAACTTTTTCCTCGTGTGATGGTTGAAAAGGTGGGGATTGGTAAGTGAACCTTCTGTCCTCGTACACCCAGAGAGTGAAGAGAGGCCTGCGGGAGGCCCAGCAGAGCCTTTGGAGCCCAAATGGGGCTTTTATTCCCCTTTCCAGCAGTCCGAGGTGAGATCCAAACTTGGGCCGTTTACTGAGCTGTGAGTGCCCTGACCTCGGGTGGTTCAGAACAGGGATATCGGCAGCCAAACAGCTGAGGCCTCCGCGCTGAGTCTCGATTATGAAAGTCCTTCTAATATTTCCAGTCACCGTGACTCCTTCCGGACAGATCACTACCTCTGGCGCTCTCACCTTTGACCGTGCGTCGACAGTGGAAGCCACGGCAATAATCTCGGAAAGCCCGTCCCAGGGGGATGTTTTCACTGGAGCCGCTGGTAAGAGCTCGGGGATCTGCCTGTGACACGTGTGTGGGGAGGAGGAAAAAGGGTTTGGACATCCTTTTCTCTAGGAAGAAGCATTTGGAATGCTGCACAAAGGATTTATTTCCCCCCAGTTTACAGAGGAACGGTACGTAACCTGCTGTCCTTCCTCGGAAATGGTGTCAGCAGCTCGATACCTTACCAGTTGCGCAAAAGTTTTGTCCAGCTGTTGCAGCTGCTACCGTCCACCTCTGCTGGTTCGTAGAGGTTTCTGGTCATCTTTTTCCACTCCTCCTTTGTCCTGAAATACCACCAGGAAAAAGAAAAGTAGCAGAGTGTTGGAACTGAGTGAAAGGTGCTGACGAATGCTGGAATAAATCAAGATATAAATGCGTGACATGTATTTCAGGGTTGTAAGCTCTGCTGAGGGAACTGCCCTGCTCTGAGAACCGTAGTTTGGTGCCCTGTGGTTCTTGTGAACGGAGAGGTGTGCGGGAGGGAAGC